GGGGCGTGGGGGGGGAGCAGACACCCAAATTTGACAGGTACCTGCTCCCATTTCCGGTCCAGGGGCGGACTGACCATTCGAGCACTCGGGCATTGCCCGAGGGCCCAGGGTCAGTTGGGGGCCCCATAAAATGCCCCTGATACTTTTTTTAGGCTTTTTTGGGTGTGCTTTTGTGGGAAAGGACACAGGGGCCCCATGATCTCCTGTTGCCTGGGGGCTACATGAAATGTCAGTCCGCCCCTGTTCCGGTCAGATCGGCTAGTTCAGGGGTGGGCAACTGAGGTCCTCCAGCTGTTGTAGAGGCATTGCAAAACTGACAGTTACAAGCATGACTCCCAAAGACAGAGGTGTGATGGGACTTGTAGTTCTCCAACAGCTGGAGGGCCACAGTTGCCCACCCCTGACCTAGGCAATCGAAAACGGAAGGTGTCCTCCTCCCTGTAGTCTTTTGGGACACGTGACAGGTCCCAGAAGACTACAGGACCATTCATGAAGCCAGCTGGTACCCTGCTGTGAAGCCGCAAGCTATCACTGAAGATGCCGGCCTCCTGGAATCCAGGACGGCCGGTGAAACGACCTGCGGGGGACACACCGAGGGGACAGGTAAGTGTGTTTTTTAAAGTCAGCAGCTTTTTTGTAGCTGCTGACTTTTATTTTTTGACAGGGTGAGTGGAAACTCCGCTTTGAGATAACATTTTAGTGCAGAATCTGTTACTACACATACAATTGTTCTTATAGGTTTTGGTTACCATGTAAAGCAAGGGTGTATGTGGACTAATAATCTGCTGGTTCAATAGGAACTGGCTGACTTTTGGTCCTGTTCTGTTCAGTAGAAGCCGATCGAACAACTGGCATCTTTCGAACAGTCATGCTGGAAAACCAGCATTTGATCAATGCATGCAGCCAATGGCTGCAAGTGCTGATCTGTATACTCCCCCCCCATCAAAATACAGTAGTGTGGCAGGGGAGATCCTTTGTGTTGATGCTGGGATCTGTCAGTTTTTTTTTTTGCTGGTTGAAAAAAGATAAACCTTCACATGTTTCCCCAGCTTCAGGTTCTCTGCAACTTTTTATTATTATACAGGATTTATATAATATTATTATACGGGATTTATATAATATTATTATTATTATACAAGATTTATATATTATTATTATACAGGATTTATATATATTATTATTATTATACAGGATTTATATATTATTTTTATTATACAGGATTTATATATTATTATTATTATACAGGATTTTATATTATTATTATACAGGATTTATATATTATTATTATACAGGATTTATATATTATTATTATACAGGATTTATATATTATTATTATTATTATACAGCATTTATATATTATTATTATTATTATTATTATACAGGATTTATATATTATTATTATTATACAAGATTTATATAACGCCAACAGTTTGCTCAGCGCTTTACAAAATGAAAGCAGACATTAGTTACAATACAATTAGGTACAAGAGGAAACAGAGGGCCCTGATCTTGAGAGCTTACAGTCTAGAAGGACTTGGGTCTGAATTGGCAGCCAATTCATTCTGGATTTGGACTGTATTCTGCACTAAAAATCATCTAGCGTTCACCTTTCATCAGCGGGATTTTTCCAAGCTGCAGTTGTTTTTGGCTGTAAAAGTGTAGGGAGCATATAGGCCCAAAAACGGGAACATGTATGCAAGATCTTTAGTCTGCCTACCAGGAGGCTTAGCTAGAAGTGTTGTGTTTTTTTTTTTTTTTTTTACCAGGTCTTTGCTATTGAAGGTCTGCATTTAGAAGTCTAAATGTATACTATATGTAGGAGCTATGTTTCTTTCTTCCTCATTTTGTTTTTTGTTTTTTTTTTTTTATCCAAAAGAGTTGTTAAAGTGGTTCTAAACCAGTGTTTCTCAACCTTTTTTCAGTCAGGGCACCTTTAAAATTATGGACAATCCCGAGGCACCCTTTAAAATTACGGGCAGTCCCGAGGCACCCTTTAAAATTACGGGCAGTCCCGAGGCACCCTTTAAAATTACGGGCAGTCCCGAGGCACCCTTTAAAATTACGGGCAGTCCCGAGGCACCCTTTAAAATTACGGGCAGTCCCGAGGCACCCTTTAAAATTACGGGCAGTCCCGAGGCACCCTTTAAAATTACGGGCAGTCCCGAGGCACCCTTTAAAATTAAGGGCAGTCCCGAGGCACCCTTTAAAATTACGGGCAGTCCCGAGGCACCCTTTAAAATTACGGGCAGTCCCGAGGCACCCTTTAAAATTACGGACAGTCCCGAGGCACCCTTTAAAACTACGGGCAGTCCCGAGGCACCCTTTAAAACTACGGACAGTCCCGAGGCACCCTTTAAAATTACGGGCAGTCTTTAAAATTACGGGCAGTCCCGAGGCACCCTCCAAAATTACGGGCAGTCCCGAGGCACCCCATTCTAAAATGTGAAAAGCTATTCTAATAGTTTTATATAACACGGCAACATCCACACATGTAGGACACCCAATGTTAGAGGTGATTTATTCTTCCAAAGCAAATACACTTTTGCACACTGGTACTGACTAGTATTCCAATGTTTCTCTTCTCCCTCAGTTTTTCTCCATCACTGAGCTAATGTGACCCCAGCACTGATGGGGAGGGGCAAACTAGGATGCTGTGCAGGCAGCTGACATCCTCCTTATCAACGGATGATGTCATTGGTTGTCAGAATGCCGGCGGCTACAAGGTCGTAATGGTGCACAATGAAAACCTGTGACTTTGTGTAACTAAAAGGGAGGCTTGTTCCACCCGTTTGGACAATTGTTAGACATTTTTCCCAAGGCACCCCTGAAGAAACCTCAAGGCACCCTGGTTGAGAGAGCCTGTTCTAAACACATTCTCTGCATTACAGAAAACAAAGCTTGCACTGCACCCCCCCCCCCCCCCCCCCCACTTGATAAAAACGGGAGCCATTGGCTATTTGCTGTCAGTCAAATCCAGTGAGGGACAGGGGGCTGAATCAGGCTAAGTGTGTGTGTCTATGGACGCACGCAGCCCAGCTTGGATCAAGCCCACGCATTTGCCCCTATAGTAAGTAGCTTTCTATGGGAGAGGACACAGAGGAGGAGCCCAGGGTGCTGGTGGGGGACCCCGGAAGAGGAGGTTTGGCGTCTCTCCCTGCAATACTATTGCATGGTAAACATAATATCTTAATTTAGGAAAATAAACGAGCTTATCCAACCACTTTAATATTGAGATCGGCATAAAGTAACATTGACGCTGACAGACATGCACCTGTGTTATGTGCATTTTCAGTCAAAAGAATAGAGATGTCAAAGTCTCTGCAATGTATCCTTCACAGACTTCCTTACTTTTAATGATGAATTTGAGGCTTGGTATATTGTTACATAGTTACATTGTTACAGCTTTGGATCAGTGTGACTATGTATACCTTTACTGCGGAAATGCCCCTAGAGGCTAGTAATCACTGACATAGACATAATGTCCACTTGCTTCTGGGTCTTGTGCTGAGTGGCAGGTATAATGTATTTCGAATACAGAAGGTTGGCTGCTCAAGATGGGTGCTTTGCATTTACTGAATGAATGCGTTCTCTGGACGAGGTGGAGCGGTGACATCACCCTCTCCACCTCGTCCAATCAGTTTACGGAGTTTTCAGACTTCCTGGGTCATCGGCCAGGTATGGTATGTACATAGTTACGCTGGACCAATATAATTAAATATACACCATGCCTGGAATTTAATTTAACCTCTTCACGCTGGCCCGAACACAAATGTCCGGCGTCTGGGCCTAGACGCCGAGCGGCCGCAGATTTGCGTTCTATTAATAAAGAACCTATGCGCTGAGAGCGCGCGCCCTGCGCTCTCCCAGCACACATGTCCGGTACTCACGGAAAGGTCCCGATCTCCTCTTTCGATCGGGACCTTTCCCGATCATGTGACGGCGCGTCACAGCAGTCACATGACCCTAAACCCCGCCCCGCCTCCCAGCCTCTGAAACCCTTAAAGGGCTGGGAGGCGCCGACGTTAAGGGGTTAAACTTCGATTTTGTTTACTTGGTGATAATTGTAGCCATAGATGTAATACATTTTAAACAACTTTACGTTTGCACCTATGCCACTTAACCTTGGTTTTACATTACATACGGATAGCTAAGAATGGAAAAGCTGAAAGAGAAAATTGTAGGGTTTTTATAAAAAAAAAAAAAAAAAAAAAAAAAAAAAAAGGCAAATCATAAATAACTAGCTAGAACTCATGAAGTTTTTATTTTCCAGGTATAGTTCCTAACAATGGAACTCATGTCAATGGACACATTAGATGCATTACGTCACCTTGCTGGTCTAGGGCAGGGGTAGGCAACCTGAGAGCCGCAGGACTACAAGTTCCATCATGCCTCTGCAAGTCATAGCTGTAACCGTCAGTTTTGTAATCTCTGCAATGCCTCATGGGAAATGTAGTTACACAACAGCTAGAGAGCCGCAGGTTGCCTACCCCTGGTCTAGGGGATGCTTATTAAAATAAAAAAATAAATTATAAATATATATATGTATGTGTGTTAATATATATATTTTTTACACACACACATATATTTGCACGCATATATATATATATATATATATATTTATATGTATGTATGTGTATGTATGTGTGTGTGTATGTGTATATATATATATATATATATATATATATATATATATATATATATGTGTATATATATATATATATATGTATATATGTATGTATGTATTTGTGTGTATGTATATATGTATGTGTATTATATATATATATATATATATATATATATATATATATATATATATATATATATATACATACACACAAATTTTTTCTTTTTTTTAATCTGTGTAGTCTTGTGCAATTCCCAAGTGATCCAGTAGTTGTGTCTGTGACGGCTTTTATTCCATTTTACTAATAAGCAGGGAATGTAACGTTTCGTGTTTTTATGATGCACTTTGACTAATGCATATTCTGCTTTACTTGCAGGAGGATCCAGTGGCTCTTCTAATGATAATCGCAATTACCGGTACAGCAACAGATACTATAACAGTGCAGTTGCCCACACAGATTATGAAATGCAGAGTCCACAGGTGAGTGCATTAGTTTTGCTTTGAGGATAAATGCTATTTTATACTAAAAAAAAAAAAAAAAAAAAAAAAAAAAACAAAAACCATGCCTCGGTCTGACCTGAGGGCCGGTTCACACCTTGAAACTTGCCGTGTGCTCTTGTGATTTGCATGCAATGCGATTTCAGCCAGTTCTTTTGAATGGTCTGGAATTGTCAGTTCACACCAAAAGCACCCTACTTAAAGAAAAAAAAAAGCACACTAACACTACCATGCAATCCAGTGCAAGCGAACAGACTACATTTGCAATCTGCGTTTAAGGTGTCACTTAGCGAACACCTGCTGATCGCAAATGCAGTGCGTTGGTAATACGGGTTTCCCCGCACCGCATTCTGATGTGTCCTGGCCTTTGCAGTTTGAAGCTTTAGGTGTGCATCTGTTGTTTGCTGTATGCCCCTTTATATATTTCAGACGCATGGTATATTCATTATGTATTCAGTATTGACCAGTTTCTGTGTTGGACCATAAAGTTCTGCTCCTCACCTTGCATGAAGCGGGGAGAGGGCTCCTTCATGGATAAGTGAGGTAGGGCTACCCCCCCATTTTATACTTGGGTGGATGCTGTATCTGTCCCCCTGCCGGCTCTAAGGGTGAGAACTCAGCAATCACATAATCGCTGAGTTCTCGCACCACTCTGAGCAGGGAGTGATGACTGTCAATCACTGTTGTCTGCTCCGCCCCCCAGTGCTGGCTCAGGCTCTCAGTGGTTTACGTCTGGGGTGGATCCCCACTTTAAAGCGGAGTTCCAGTCACCTGTCAAAAAATGTCAGCAGCTACAAAAACTGTAGCTGCTGACTTTTTAAAAAAACAGCCACTTACCTGTCCCTCAGTCCCGCGGTGTGTTACCCGCAGCCTGTGTCACCGGCCATCCTTTATTCCAGGAGGCCGGCATCTTCAGTGTAGGCACCCAGCTGTGATAGCTTGCGGCTTCACAGCCGGGTACCCACTGCGCATGCGCGCGAGTAGCGCTGCGCTTCATGAATGGCCTTGTAGTCTTCTGGAACCTGTCACGTGTCCCAAAAGAATACAGGGAGGGAGGACACCTTCCGTTTCCGATCGCCTAGGCCAGGGGTGGGCAACTGTGGCCCTCCAGCTGTTGGTGAACTAAAAGTCCCATCATACCTCTACCTTTGGGAGTCATGCTTGTAACTGTCAGTTTTGCAATGCCTCATGGGACTTCTAGTTCTACAACAGCTGGAGGACCGCAGTTGCCCACCCCTGGCCTAGGCGATCTGACCGGAAATGGGAGCGGGTACCTGTTAAATTCGGCGCCCCCCAAAGGTGCCAATCCTTAATGGGAAGCAGTCCTTAAAGCGGAATTTCCCCTTTTGGGTGGAGCTCCGCTTTAAAGTCAGGATCTTTCACCAGCTTGGACCGGCTGAGTGACGTCCGCCAACAGCAGACTTCAGCTCGCTGTCAGCAGAGAACGGGTCACAGGAGTGCAGGACGAACCGCACTCCTGTGATCCACAGAAGTTGAGCCAAAATAGCTTTAATTGTACTGCCTTTTTAAGTTGATTTATTTCGATCTCTGATGACAGTGTAATGCTTAAAGTCGATACCAATTTTACTTGAGCCACTGTTGTAGCTTGGAACTGATCAATTTAAAATCTTGGCAATATGTGTGTTTGTTTGTTTTTTTTTTGTTTTTGTTTTTTTTTAATTGTTGAAATATTTTTTTTTTAATTAATAGTTGAAATTTTTTTTTTTTAATATTTGAAAATATTTTTTTTTTATCTGGTAAATGTAGCTTTTGGCCAAACAGTTTTTTTCATAAAGCTAAATACTTTTTCCATACAGTTGAATTCTTGTGTGCAGTACGTTTATACCCATATACAGGTATAGCATTGATATTGAAGGAGTAAGATCATGTACCTGGTAGAAGCAAGGGGAATGTTCCCGAATGTAAAGTGTCCTCTGTGTCTACACCCGCTAATCCTCTGTTTTTTCTGTCTCTGTTCTTCCGACAGACTCACTCACAGCAGCAGATAAGACTGTGGGCAGGCGGAGATGTCCCCATCACCAACAGCGACTCGTACCCTCAGATCTTACCTCACAAGCCCACTCCCAGTCAGCCGCAGCATTTTCACGGAAGCGAACCGCATCACCCTCACCCGCTGTACCATCACGTCAACCGGCCTCACTACCACCGGCAGCTCATCACCTCCTCCTCTCCGCAAATCCCTGAATCCATGGAGCTCAGCTTGGGACACAGACACCCCCAGTCTTCCTCTTCATTGCACCCACACCACCCTAGCTTAGACTGCAGTCCTTTTGGCTCCTCAAACTTACACTTAGGGGTTTCTGCTTTTCGGACTAGAACAGTCAGCGGGCATAACGACTCCAGCGTGCCTCTGAATTATCCCTACTCTAGCAACACATCCAGCATGGTCGGACCACCTCATATCCGAAACAGGACGGAAAGTGAAGAAAGTGCGATGTTAGGCGTTTGTGTCCCTCAGAGTACAGCAGCAAGCTCTTGATGTTTCTTTCATGTAAAATTAAAGCCATACCAATAATAGAAAAAAAAAAAAACAACAAAAAAACAAAAACGAAATACTGAATTCGGAGGAGGGCTTGACAGGCTGCAGGGTGGGGTTGTGGAAAAAAAAAAAAAGGGTGAGCTGGCTTTTATCACAACCATCAAAAAAAAAAAAAAAAGTTGTCAAGGTGTAGCTGTTAATGTGAATTGTTTATTTATTAAAAAATAAAAATCACTACGAGGGGAGTGTGAAGTGTGTGTTGACCCATGAGAAGCAGTTTTAACAGACTTCAAATTGGACTGCTCTGTTTTTTTATTTTTATTTTTTTTCTTTTGTTTTATTTTCTTTTTTGTTTTGTTTTTTTGTTTTTTTTTTTTTTTTTATTATTATTGCTTTTTTGACACACTGGTAGAAGTTTAACCTGTGCAAAGACTTCAAGACATTTCCAATGCTTCCATTTCTATCACCAACTTTTCCTTCTTCAGAAAGAAGCAGGACGAATCCAGACTTTCTTTGCACGTCAGTGAACTCGTTTACAGGCCAAAACATCACTCTGCAAAACACTGTCTGTGCCACTTGCCCTACGCTGCCATCTTAACCATTCATCCAGATCTCCTGCGTTCGCCCCCCCTCCAGGCCCCTCCCCCCTCCCCGATTTATACCAACTTTTGCTAGGGTGCAATTAACGCACTTCACTGGAATTATCTTGGCTGCTAACTCCACTCTCTCAACTGGAATTGCTGCTAAAACTCTTTTAACAGTTTGCTTTCTAAAAAAGAAAAAAAAAAAACTTAAAGGTTCCCATGTCTTTTATTTATAACTTCGTACTCAGTCGGTTTTAGCTGTATCAGGAAGGAATTTTAGGAGCATTTTTTTTTTTTTTTTTTTTAAATTTTACTGATTCATATTGCAGAAGTTCATTTTTCTTGCCCCTCCCACTCCCTTTTTTCGTATTTCTTTGGTCATCTTTTCAGTTCAGTCCAATCTTTGAAAATGTATATTTTTTTTTGGGTTTTTTTTTTTAAACGCCTTTTTTATTTTTTTCATACACTACAAATTTTATTTTCTCCCCCCGTTTTTATCTAGCCGCTTCTTTTGTTTGGTGCGACCAGCACACTTTTCATGGGTTGTAAAATTTCTAAGCCCTTGCTTCAGTATTAAAACTTTACAGTGCTATGTGCTGTAACAGTAGGGTTTTTATTTTCTTGTTTTCATTTTTTTAATTTTTTCAGAAAAAAAAAAAAAAAGCAAAATGTAAAGATTAAACTGTCCTTTTCATATCTCTGTGGATAGTAAAGTACTGTTTTATTTTTTTCCTTTTTTTTTTTTTTTTTTTTTTTTTTTTTCTTTTTTAATTTATTGTACCAAAGATGGTATTGAGGTTTCACTTTGAAGAGGAAAAAAAAAAAAATATGAAAACTCAGACATGTAAAATGATTGTCTTTTTAAATGTTTCCTTTCTTCTGTTCTTGCGTGTTTAATTGGGCTTACAATTCTGAATCATGTGTAGTTGCTGTTGGACTCCAAGGCCTTTCACATTCATGTTTGTTTCAAGTATTGTGGGTGATTTGGAGGATCCTAAAAAAATAAAGGACTAGCCAGCTACGTATCAAGCGGTCAGTCTGATTGTGTCGCCAAACTCTATTGAGAGCATCTGTGACAGCAACGCGTTACCCCAGCTGTATAGTCGTAAATTCGAATTGCTTTTGGTAACATGATGAAAATGTGTAATTTTGTAAATGTACGGATCTTTGATTCCATCCCTGATGGTGGCAAATATTTTTATGTAAAAGTGCAGCTCTGCTATATACAGTCAAATATTTACATGTTCTTAACAGTACTGAAGTTTTAAAACAAGTCCGTTTTTGACCTTTTGTAGCTACAGGTACTGTGGAGAAATTAATTGTTAAAATTTACAGCAGAACTATTATTTGTTTCATTTCAGCCGCTTAGCGCACTCTGTTTTCCCCTCCAGCAGTGACTTGGCATCCTGCCTTTTAACATGACACAGGGTTCTGGAAGGCAACTTTTCCACCGGGTGGGGGGTGGAGAGTTTGAATATGTCACCGCAAGGACACACAAACAATCATTTCCTGTGTCCCCCATTCTCCCAGTAATGCAGCCTGGGGCTGCACTAAAATGCAGACATGCTGCATTTTAATACAGTGCACTGTGCTGACTTTTATAGCAATATACAGCAGCAGCTGTACATTGCCGTGAAGGAAGTTTATTTTGTTTTGTACAAAAACTTTATTTGAAATGTACAAAACAAAGTGTGATGCGCTGAATCGCACACCACATTGTTTTTGTTTTGTATGGTAGAGGGCAATGTGGTGTGTGATTCAGCGCATCACACTGCACTTTGTTTTTTTTGTATGGTAGAGGGCAATGTGGTGTGCGATTCAGCGCATCACACTGCACTTTGTTTTTGTTTTGTATGGTAGAGAGCAAAGGGCAGTGTGATGCGCTGAATCGCACACCACATTGCCCTCTACCATACAAAACAAAAGCAGTGTGATGCGCTGAATCACACACCACATTGCCCTCTACCGTACAAAACAAAGAGCAGTGTGATGCGCTGAATCGCACACCACATTGCCCTCTACCGTAGCTGAGAACGGACCGCTGTCAGAGCGATAAAGGTTCGGCATCTCTCTGTTCCCATGTGAATACACTGAGGCCCGGTTCCTAACAGGCCATGGACTGGTACCAGTCAATGGCCCTAAGGTCCTCTGATCTAACATAAATGCAGTTGCACAGCAAGAGTTGAGAGCGCAGAGTCCAACACCTGACTTGAACCTCTTCACTAATTGTCTTGTAAACTTTGAGGATGAATTGCTCCACATCTCTAACTACAGAGGTCAATGAGGGATTATTAAAAAAAAAAAAAAAAACTATTTACTGTTAAGAATATGCCATTATTTAAAAGTCTATAGCTTCGCCCCATTTTTACTTTTAAAGGCTCAGTCCACGAAAGACCGATATTTCAATGATGGGTGGGTGCCAGTGTGTCAGATCACCCCTCCGTATCCTACACCTTAGGACACCAGAGCTTGTCCCGAGTTTGTCCCTTCAGCTCTATGATATACCCTTCAACCGTGCGATTAAAACTGGCCCAAAATCCTGCACAACCGATTTAATGTTGGAACAATTCGAGGGAAAGGTGAGCGGTACTAAAATAAACATTTACAATAGGACACCTGGGTGATTTAACTCATTGGCATCAATCCTAAATGAAATAGTCGTGTGTGGATGTCATGGCACAGGGTATTTTTTCACTGCATGACCAAAGACCACTGGGCCTCTTTCTGACAAATGAGCGCTTGGAAACTCATAGTTACATCTGACCCTCTGTCCCTTCAGCCTCACTAGCGGGTCATTTTTTGCATCTTTTTTTTTGCAAGGGCCGCAGTCTGTCAAGGTAGAGTTGTAGTGATATTTGGTTGTGCAGTTACCTGTTCGTAAACAACCTGTTAAAGTGTACCTGTCGCTTGTGAACTTGTGGAGACCGTTTTGGGCCTGACCACACGTGACTGCCTGTCTACTCCCCAATCTGAGCAAAAACATACTTTAGATTGCCATTGGCCTATTAAGCCCATGTACCTTCCTTCCATTTTCTGGGGTCCTTGGTTCTATTTTTTTTATGGCAACTTTAAAGTCGCTGTAGTGACCTTTTACTTACAGAATTTCCTGGGGTGTTTTATGGGGTCTTTATAGACATTTCCTCCTAGGCCCCTACACATACCTTTTTTCCCTAGGCCCATAGAGATGTTTCCTCCTAGGCCCCTACACATACCTTTTTCCATAGACCCATAGAGATGTTTGTTCCTAGGCCCCTACACATACATTTTTTTTCCCTAGGCCCATAGAGATGTTTCCTCCTAGGCCCATAGAGATGTTTCCTCCTAGGTCCCTACGCATACATTTTTCCCTAGGCCCATAGAGATGTTTCCTCCTAGGCCCTTACACAGACCTTTTTCCCTAGGGCCATAGAAATGTTTCCTCCTAGGCCCTTACACGTACCTTTATCCCTAGGCCCATAGAGATGTTTCCTCCTAGGCCCCTACACGTACCTTTTTTCCCTAGGCCCATAGAGATGTTTCCTCCTAGGCCCCTACACATACCTTTTTTCCCTAGGCCCATAGAGATGTTTCCTCCTAGGCCCTTACACATACCTTTTTTCCCTAGGCCCATACAGATGTTTCCTCCTAGGCCCCTACACATACCTTTTTTCCCTAGGCCCATAGAGATGTTCCCTCCTAGGCCCCTACACATACAGTTTTCCCTAGGCCCATAGAGATGTTTCCTCCTAGGCACATAGAAATACCCTCTGCTTAGGCCTGTACAGGTTTTTTTTTTTTTGTTTTCTCATTAGGTCCAACACGTAGGCAAGCCATCACAGAGAACAACTAGGTAGTTTGGGTGACATACTTGAAGTCCATTCTTAAAGGATAAGTTCATCCTTCAGGACAAGTTGCATGTTCCACCTGTTCATTGGGTGTAACGTGTTCCCCCTGCTGGAGCCGCTGCATCTAGTAGTAACTAGTGGGGAATCTTCTTCCTCAATAAAAAAAAAAAAAAAAAAGTGCCCATGCAGGGGAGCCCTGTGTCCGCCATTCACAAAATGGAGCGGATGTGTCCGCCATTCTCAAAATTCTGTGAATGTTTTCGCAATGAACTACCAGGGCACTGTTAAGTGCTGTGGCAGTTCATTGTCTCTTCCTGTCAGTGTGTATCTGCTTGCCTATACTATGTACAAGCAGACAGATACACTGACAGGTCTGCAGGAGTCCTACATGACACCCACGATCTGCTGTTCACGGGTGCAATGCTTTCTTGGCTCCCAAGTAGAAAAAAAAATGCACATTTTTCTTACCTGCAAAAAGATGTGCATTTATAAATTTATTTTTTGTTTTTTTTTGGGTGATACTTATAGGGATTACAGGAATTGCACTTTGTTCTGCACTCCTGTCTCCCGCTGTCGTCTGACATCACTGAGC